GTAAATGATCTACTCATATATACTTAGAATTACCATTATTTGTTAGAAATGAAGAATAATTTTCAGTTTGGTGCTGCCTCATGTTAATAAGTGACTTCATCACATTTCTGGCCTGAATGTAATAACTTTGTTGTAAACACAAAGAAATGATTTTTCCTTGCCACTGTGAACATGTTTCTTATTTCAGGTGATTGAGTTGCCTCTCCTGAACCCGGAGTTGTTTATGAGAGTGGGTATCACCCCACCCAAAGGCTGTCTGTTGTATGGGCCCCCGGGAACAGGGAAAACACTCTTGGCCCGAGCTGTAGCTAGTCAGCTGGACTGTAACTTCCTCAAGGTAACCACATGGAAAATAGATAGGAACTTGTCTCTCTTCACCATGTTCATGTTGAGTTCTGTTTGGGGGTGAATAGGGTAGCCTAGTGGTTAAAGCATTCGCTCATCACACTTGTAAAGACCATGTGTTAAGCCGATTTCTGGTGTCCCTTACCAGTACCATGACATTGCCGTGATTTTGCTGAAAGCTGTGTAAAACAATACTCACTCATGTTTGTGCATTCTGGATGTACTTGATGCAAAATCATGCATCATATGTGCATAAATTTGTAAACAGACACCCTCAAGAAATACAGAGTGTATTCATATGTGATCATTTAAAACATACCATTCACAGTTGCTTCATGATCTGTGAGCACTAGAATGTGTTGATTCATTTTGCTTGTGGTAGAATTCTGTATTCAACTTTTGCCATTCCTCTTGGACCCCCTATTTTTAAACCTGGGACCCCTACAAATAAAGGCTTTGGTTCGCCTTGACCTGCACAATTTAAAACCCAGGTAAATCCCTGACTATTTTTTTTCGCAATGGCAACTTCTTCCTTTGAACTTGAATCTAGATGACACATCTAATATGTCTTGTTGTGTTTAGGTGGTGTCTAGTGCTATTGTGGACAAATACATTGGAGAGAGTGCCAGGCTCATCCGAGAAATGTTTGCTTATGCCAGGGATCACGAACCATGTATCATCTTCATGGATGAAATTGATGCCATTGGTAAGACTTTCATGTTCATGCACACTGGTGGCTGTTGGTGAGTTCTAGGAACACCAGCTTATCCCCTGGCTCATTGTATGTCCCTGTACCCTCAATGTATGGATTGTTGTCCAAACTATCAACTATTTTCCTGGTCCAAACTTTAGTTTAGCTGTCTTTACTGGATGGTTGGTGTGAAGCTAGCCTATGAAATGCTAATTTCCTGCAGCCTACATGCCAGTCATGTCATTTAGTTCAGTTTACTGACCAAGTTCAAGCATGTAAACAATCACAGCTTGGGATTCTTTTGTTTCTGTAGTAAAACAAAACCTTGAAAAGCTCTTGATTCAGGAAGCCGTCCAATATACTTATTTAACAAATGAGAAACTGTGACAGCTACAGGGATAATTCTAGGGTGGGGCCTTGTGCTTTTAGCCCTTAAATTTAAAAAAAGGCCCACATTATTAAATACAATGGGGCATTTTAACATGGGCAAGTGTGGGTGTACCTCTGGAATATTTGAAATTTTCACACAAAGGGCCCATGTCAGAGAATTCCTAGAGTGAACCCTGCCGCTATCTTTTTTCACTCACTCTCAATTTCCTATTTAGGTGGAAGAAGATTTTCAGAAGGTACATCAGCAGACAGAGAGATCCAGAGGACTCTTATGGAGGTAACTTTTGTGCTCGACTACTGGGTGTAATAGTGATGGCAGTGGGATGGGGGAGTCGCCCAATGATGTGAACTGACAAGTTGAGGCAGGGACAGCAAGGGGTCTGTTGTCTTTCTCTCGTCTATATTCTTCCTCCTACTATATATCCATCCTTTTGTCTGTCTATTCCCCACTGTCCTGTCATTCTGCTATCTCTCCATCTCTCACTCCCTTCTTGTGTATACCCCTCCACACCTTGCTGTTGGCCATTGAAACTGATTATGAGAGCTGAGGGCACATCATTAGCAGAAAAGTAAATCATGACAAGACAATCTCTTTCACAAGATCTAGATTGTGTGGGATGAAGAACTAGAGTGGTCAAGATTATGATCCATTTTTGAACTATAGTGAAAAATATATGTTTTGGGGGGCATCATGAAAAGTTAAGTGTTAACAGGTCATACATGAATGATTATGGTTAGCTTTTGGTTACACTGAAATGTTTTGATATTTTGTTAGTGTAACTCATAGCTACCATGTGACCTTGTTAAACAGTTGCTGAACCAGATGGATGGGTTTGATGCCCTGGGCCAGGTGAAGATCATCATGGCCACCAACAGACCAGACACCCTTGACCCAGCTCTTCTCAGGCCTGGCCGACTCGACAGGAAAATAGGTACAGTCATCTTGAAACTAAAGCTTCCTTTAAAACACTGGAGTAATGAGATCAGAATGAGCATGATTAGTACTGCCTAATATGATAGAAGGCTTTTTGAAAAAAGAAATCATAATTAAGGATACACCACAAAGTGATAACGCAAACAAAATAGGGTGAGATATGCCACTCAATGATTAACACTCTTCTGTTTTCCTGAAACCTTAATATTTAAAAGAAAACAACAATCTGTTCCCGGTATTGTTCAGTGCAGTAAACTGTGTTGAAGGCTTGTTTGGACTGATCCAAAATTAGTGATTGAAACAACAAACCCAGGAATATAGGATGTTCTGTATGTAATGTTGCCTCCATATTCTTATTTCAGAAATTCCTTTACCAAACGAACAAGCTCGACTTGAGATTCTGAAGATCCATGCATCTCCGATTGCCAAACATGGAGAAATAGATTGGGAAGCCATAGTCAAACTTTCAGAAGATTTCAATGGTGCTGATCTGAGGAATGTCTGTACTGAAGCAGGTACGTACTAAGTTGTCTCCCTTAGGCCTTGTTTCATGTTGGTAGAGGGTGGTCAGAGGGTTCTTTTGAGAAGTTAATTGATAGGTCTTCATGTTGATTTAAGGGTTTTGAGCAAGAAACTTAGATAGTTTTGTATGGATAAGCATATTGTTCTGCCTTTGATCAATCAGAATGATACAAAATATCATTTGTGTCAGGTCTTTTTCTTGAAAGAAAACCACATTTAGCCATGTGTCCATTTATTACAAGATTACTATTTTTCATGCCTCATTTACTGGCTTTTCATACTTATTAAGGAAAATTGTTTTTGTAGTTGAAATGGTTATCTCGACAATTGTCTAACATGCAATAAATATGTCCATATATTTATTCTCTGTTATCTGTGTGCAGGTATGTTTGCAATTCGTGCCGAGCGTGACTATGTGATCGAGGAGGACTTCATGAAGGCTGCCAGAAAGGTGTCAGACAACAAAAAACTTGAGTCCAAACTGGACTATAAGCCAGTGTAACATCATCATGATGTTCAACCCTTGTCAGATGTTTCATGTATGCTTTCATTGTAAATAAAGAAAATGTCATTATAGAAACTGCTAATTTTGGGTTCTGTTATTACTGGACAACATTACAGGATGGAAAGTTAGTGAGTGTGTATGGTTTTACGCCGCTTTTAGCAATATTCCAGCAAAATCATGGCGGGGGACACCAGAAATGGGCTTCACACAATGCACCCATGTGGGGAATCGAACCCAGGTCTTGGGATTGGCGAACGCTTTAAACACTGGGCTACCCCACCGCCCCAGATGGACAGTGAGAATACTTTTTGAATGACAAAAGGACTCTGCTGAAACAATTCAGTTAAGGGACCACTAATTTTAGTTCGTTATAACCATATACAACATATACACAGCAAATGGCTGGGACAAAAACAGTTCCTTATATCTGCCAGTTTGTTATAAACGTGTCCATTATAAAAATAGTTCTTGTTTTCTTACATAGACAATGGTACTGATCTATTAACTTCAATTGTGTAGTGTGCATAAATTCAACACTTGGTGTTCTAAATTAAGCTCGAAAGTCATTGGATTTTTGTCTACTCAGTATAGGTATGAATAAGTTTATAAAGCCATATTTGGTTTGGCTGAAATTGACCTCACAATCATGTTTGGAATTGCCAAGGGCGTAATGACACATGTCCTCCCGGTCCATATGCAAAAAGATCCGGGGTAGAATAGGTCTTCAGCAACCCATGCTTGCCGTAAGTGGTGACTTACGGGATCGGGTGATCAGGCTTGCTGACTTGGTTGATGCATGTCATCGATCCCAATTGCATGTATCGATGCTCATGATATTAATCACTGGATTGTCTGGTCCAGACTTGATTATTTACGGACCGCCATCACACACTGTAGCTGGAATATTGCTGAGTTTGGTGTTAAACAACAAACCAACCAACCATATGCAAAAGGTTTTGGTGCACCATAGGACTTTTGAATCTCCTTAAGTACTTTGTAACAAGTAGTTTTATTTCCTTTCTGTTTAATTAACATGCTGTGGGCTCTTGCAGTTTATTATTTCCATGGCACTATTTGTCTTGAGTTGCCAGACCCCCTTGTTATAATGGACTGTTTGAGAAGTCTATAGTAAGTACTGTTTCTCTCAAACTGCATGCATATCTGCAGCAGGGTCCATCATTGTAATGAGGATGTTTTTTGCATCAGTACTGAAAAAAACTTGAATGCGTGTCCTTTAAATTATACACTTGGTCACTTCCTTAGGAGGAGAATGGCTGGCCCATCTGCCAAAGTTGGCTCTCAGTTGTGTTAGAAGCTGATGATCATGGGTTATAATTCTTGGTTTGTCAACTCTGTATCCTGGGGGCCCACCATATAGGGGAAAAGTGCCTTTGCAGATCACTTGAATTGTAAGAGGAATTCAGTTTGAATAGAGTGATACATTCCAAATGAGTTCCTGGCAGAAAGAGCATGTAATGAAATGAGGTCCTAAACACAGCCTTCATCAGGGAATAAGCACGAGGACGTGACAGGCTGTTTGAACATAATAAATTACCCTATATTTTTCATATTCCAAAGAAGCACATATGAAATAATGACACACACACAGGAAATAGTTGATTTAAGTGCATTTTAATCAGACTGAATCATTTCATTGGATAGAATCTCTTTTTAAATAATTCTGTACAATTTGATTGCTTTCATATTTCATAGTATTTGCCATTTACAGGATGTTTGGACGGTAATATCCAAGGCGAATTGCATAGACAGATTTATGTGTTAGAATTTCTGTACAAAATTGTGATACATAGTACATCACATGACAAAACACACATTCTTGATAATATCATTTAAGTAATCCAATACATTGGATGTGACAAGAATGAACATGATATGGTCGAAGTTTACGTATATTCAAACCATATTCAAGCTTCTCGTTTGATGTACAACAGTGTGTTTAATCTGTATATTGTTCAAATAATCTGTTCTGGTGATCCGTTATATTCTACAAAATATCATCACCACTTAAAATGTCTGGGAAATTTGTGCATCAATCACTTCCCATGAACCCTTGTCCAAAATGGCCGCTCCCTGAGGCTTCATCCACGTTGCATACTGAACAAGTCCATTCCTTTTTCACAGCTACACACATACAAAGGATAGTTCTAGCACTCTCAGTCAGACTAGCTGGTGCAAGCTAGGCTCTACTCTTAAATATATATCAAAATAATCTTGTCAGGGTCCTTTATTGCACAAACTGTAGCCTGTCTAGACTACCACACACATGGAATGCTGCAACATGGTCAACTCGGCAACACCCCCACATCTTCTATTGCTTGCACTACCCTAAATCATTTTGGTGGCATCACCCGAGCATACATCTGAAAAGAGAAGTACAAGGGTTTACAAATTTGGCACAGAAAAATTAACTGAACAATATGACAATAACAAGAAATTATGTTTTATCATACCACTATGTCAGAATATTGAGATCTGATTGGTTCACATGATCTCGTTAAAATACTCTGTTTCCACACAACAGTCTATGATCCTATGGATTTCCCAAGTATATGTCAGCACAGCTTCCAAACGCCAGAAGGTTTAAGGACAGAGTTTAGGGTTTACCATTAAAATATATTATCATGACCATAACAGAACACTGTGTCTCCAGGCAAAAGCGATGGTAATAACTTTTGACAGCATTTGCTTATGAAATTTTGGTTCAGAGCCTGCTGGTTACTCACCCCAAGTAGGTTTCTTGGGACATATCCCTCCTTGTCATTTCGACGAGCCCACCACCATTCCTTCTCACGCTCATCGCCCTTCCGCAGGATGGTGATCTTGTCACCAATCTTAAAGCTTAGCTCGTCCGAGTTGGACGAGTCGTAATCGAAAACTGAATACACTTCCCCATTGTTCATGATGCCTAGCTTCTCTTGGATGCCTGGGAAATAAAAAAAAAGGCGATTTGAAACTTTTGAAGAATAATGACATGATATTTAGACTATAATTTGTTGTTTATACATTTTAATACATTTTAATACATTTTAATAACAAGAATATCAAGAATAACATCAGTACTTGGATCATCTGTTGCTGAAACTTAAGAACATGAACCTGGATATACGGACATATCAAAGCTGACTATTTCAAAATATTGTTGAGTTTAGAGTAGTCAATGTGACATCCCTTGTTAATGTTATACAAAGATAAGACCTGGGCCCACTTGCACAAAGCAATCTTAGCACTAAGATTATCGTATGGGAGTTATGATCATCTTTGGGCTAAGATCGCTTTGTGCAAGTGGGCCCTGGTCCTAACCATTTGGGTACACCCAGCTACCCAGATCAAATCTTGGTTTTGGGTCTTGGCAGTCATTTGGACCTATCATGCCTATTGTTATGGCCTCTTACAACAGCATGAGGTGCTAAGGACCCATTCTGCCCTGCAATCCTACAGGATTAGAACCCTGTAGGGTAATATTTTTAATAACGACACTGGACATTACTCTTCACTAAGTCATCATCCGTTTCAAGTGTGGCAGCCCTGGACTCGGAGGGAGTAACATGTCGGGAGACAAACTCACTGTAGAGGTAATCTGAGCAGCCATCATAGCCATCCTCGTCTTCTTCACACTTCTCGGCGGCCGTCTCGTGGTCGCTGATCGTCGTGGCAAATATACATGCTCCATGTTCGACGAGGAACTTGACCATTGGGAGGTTATTGCAGGAAGCTGCGCAGTGTAGAGGTGTCCTGCAAATCAGTGGAGGGGATGTCAGGTCATGGCTTATCCTTCAGTTAGTTTACTTTTTTCACTCCATGCATGGTAAAAACATTGCAGACTTTTCTTTTTAGGCTAAAAAAATAATAGTCTTGGTTCTCAGGCACTGCCCGCATCATCATAAAGTCTGCCGCACGTTTTTATTTCCATTTTCAAAAAAAATAAAAAATCCTAAAAATAGTACTTAAATACTATGCAATCCACTATAGCACACAGTAACTTCTCTTTACACGCACACTGCTTTAATGCGCATCTCGTGTTTTGGTCATGGCGGCAAAAGGAGTTTGTATGCTTGTTTATGTAGGGAGGCCCTTTCCCAGGTTGATGGTACACAACTGTTTATTTGGTTACAAACTAGTTTGAACGAGCAATAAAAAAAAATGCACTGCCCACCTGCCTGCACAATATTTTCAAAAGTCTGCCTGAGAACCACTTCTTTTATTTTTTTAAGCCTTAAGTATTTTATTTTAAATTAAACCTTTTCACTTATATTCTTTTGAATTAAAGATAATGAGTGAGTCATAGTGAGATTAGTTTCAAGTCACTTGTAAGAAATTATATCACAGCATGAATCGAATATACATGGAGCTGATAACTGAAGCTTCAGATGTGAAATGTATCATCTGAAATCTGTACTATGGTCATGCCGTGTATTATTACATAATACTTTTACTAACAGAGTCTCAAGATATCTCATTATCAGAACTAATTCTGGTATCCTGCAATACTTGAGAATCATGTGAGATTGTTCTGAAACTACGCGACCTACCATCCGTCACTATCTGGTGAGTTGACATCACATCCAAACTCTACGAGGAAAACAACGATCTCATAATGTCCTGCGCAGATGGCGTTGTGGAGAGCAGTGATCCCTTCATCATTGGGAGCACTCACATCGGTAACCTGGCAACACAAACAATGCATGAAATATAAGCATAAATTTTCATGCATCTTACATTTTTGTGTGTAATATATATTTGAGGGACAGTTGCTATATCTAATAATTTCTGAACTCGTTCATTCAAACCACCAATAAGTGCTTCTTGACCTATGAAGATTAACACTATTTACTCTTGCAACGAGCACAAATCAGTTGTGGTAGTGTATTTTCTTGTTAAGTTTGTATTACCTCTCGTGCAGTCCTCCTGACCAGTTCGATTTCTCCCTCTAACGATGCATCCAAGAGAAGTGCCAGGGGGTCGAAACTCACACGGTTCCCAGATTTCCGAGACTTATCCTTCTTCAAATTTGTCTTCTTCCTCCTCACAACACCATCACTTGGCGGCTGAGGAGGACGAGAAGAGTCCGAAAGTGAAGGAGAGTTACCTCCCTTAGAGTTAGAAGTAGCACTATTACTGTCCAACTGTTTAACAGCGTCCAAGGCACTTGATTGATGATTACCACTGTTAACACCACTGTTAATCTTCTGATTTGCCCCTTGTCGATCATACCCTCCGTGCAGTAATTTACTAAGGTCTTCATTCTCACTGTCCGACTGCTTCCGTCGTATGTGTTTAGGGGTGTTCAGCCTATAACTACCCTTATCTGAGGCTATGCTCTGATACTGTGGCAAGCCCACAAGTCCGAAATGAGTATGAGTTTTTGCTCCATTGTTGGAGTCGCCAGAAGATGGTTGATTAAATGCTGTTCGTTGTTCCAGGCCGGGATTCCCCCCAGATGGTAAAGTATCATCAGGTTTATCTTGGTTACTTTTACCGTCTGCATTCTTGTACAGAGCATCCAGATTCTGTTGATACTTCTGCATAGCAGACGACCCCAGTCTGCCCATGTATGTGTTCATGATGGCATTCTTGGTCGCGTATCTGTACGTCGGTTTGGCCGCTCCTGCCTGGCTGGTGCTTACAGTAGGCTGAGTCGCGGGAGTGTTTGTCACTGGGGTCGAAGTCGCTTGAGGCTGAGGTTTATCCGGGATGGGAGAGTCGAACAGTGTTTTGCCAGAATCTGTAACATCAAGAGAGTTGTCGGACCCATTCCTGGGGGAGTTCTGTTGTGGAGACTGACTGGGGGAAGATCTGTCTGTCACGGCACCTCTCACCGCCGGATGAGGAGCAGTTCGGGACGATACTGGAGGAGGTTGACCAGGCTGTTGCTGCTGAGGAACAGTCTTGGCATCATTCTGTGGAGATTGTGAAGGGACTCTCCCTGGGTAGGTGGTGTTTGTTTGTGATTGGGGAATCCTGGCCAGCACTTTTGGCTTGTTTGTGCTGGGCGAGTTCTGAGAGCTGTCACTTGATGCTGGTGAACTCTGCCCACTGCCTGCCTGTCGTTCCTCCTCTGTAATACTTATAACTGGTTGTTGCTGGATCGGGGCAGCAGTAACCCTCCCAGGTAACACAGACGGGCTGAACGTCGAACCGTACGGCCGGGCAGAGAACTTGGCTGCAATATTTGCAACACTGATTCTCCCAGGACCAGCTTGTGGAGCAGACTGATTGGAAGTTGAGGCAGGCACATTCTGGTTCCCAGATTTACTGTCACTCACATTTTGATTGTTTGCAGATTTGGCCACTGAATTCTCCCTACTTTGAGAATTCTCCCTACCGTTGTTGTTCAGTTCTTTACCCTGATTGGTTGGCTTCATGGGAAAGTCCTCCATATTCTTATTCTCAACATGTGGGTATTTGGTGTTGGTAGGCGTCATGTACTTTGGATCCTTCTTCTCAAATCCAGCTTTCTGGTACATGTCCTCCTTGTCTTTGGGAGCGACTTGGATGTAGGGTTCCACGGCGGCGATGTTGGTGCCGGGTCTGTTCTTGTTCACCATGTTCTTGTTGTCGGTCTGCTGCTGAGACCGCTTCTTCTTGATGCGTTGCTGCAGCTCCTGGATGCGGAAGTCCATCTGCTTCATCTCATCCTTCTTGTGCTGCAGCATCTCACGCTGGGCAGACAGACGGTTGTTCTGGTGCTCATTCACTTTGTTCCGTTGCTGTAAATAAACAAGATAGGATTGTTACCTCATCTGTGAGTGAGTATGGTTTTACTCCGCTGTAAGCAATATTCCAGCAATATCACGGCCGTAATGGGCTTCACACATTATCCTTTGTGGAGAATCGAACCTGGGTCTTTGGTGTGACGGGCGAACGCTTTAACCACTAGGCTACCCCACTGCATCTATGGATCTTAATCCCTCGAATGTAATATAAGCAGTAAAACCATGTCAACAGTGATGGGGATAATCGAAAAGTCATCTATGTATTACTCAACAGTTTCTAAGGAATACCCTTGACCATTATTGTACATTGTCTTTTTGAAAGTAATTTTCAAGGTTTATAAACAAAAGGATTTTATGATTTTCAATTCATCAAAATACACCTACTAGAAGCTCTTTGCGAAGTTTTTCCAGTTCCAGTACTGCAGCTGTTTGAGTGTCCCCATTAATTCCATTAATCTTTCCAGTGCGTATGTCCTCCAGTTGTCGGGTCAACTGCTCCACCTTGGCAACAGCCATTGTCAGCTCCTTCTCCTTCTCATTGAACAGAGCTTTCACGGAATCCAGCTCCGAATCTGGAACAGGGCAGAGGGCATCAGAAACAAGCACATCATTGCATATGGAGGAACAAATTAATGGTTGCACAAAGTAAAAGTACCTAAAAGATTGTCCTGCACCATACCAAATAACATATACTACTCAAAAGTAGTTAAGATCTACCCAATTCTCTCTTCTAGTTAATCAGTATTGACGTTGGTCCTTATCGTATTGGAGTATTATATGTTGCACAATCTGGCCAGTCAACGAACACCATGATATACTCACTGAGGTTTCCATTTGAGGCCTTGTGTTGTTCCACCTGTCCTCGCAACGCCCGCAACTTCTTCAGCTTCAGCTCCTGCGTCTCCACCTTCTCCCGCAGCCGGCGGAGACGATCCTGTTCCGCGCTGAGGTGTGAGTGTCGCTGCTCCTGCTGTTTGAGGTACTTGAGTCGCTGCTCCTTGGCCACCAGGACCTGCTGCTGACTCTCGATCTGCTGCTGCTGCCGTGACGCCATCTCCTGCAGCTCTGTCAGCGTCAGGTCCATCCCACCTGGCAGCTGCAACACAAACCACACCGTTATGGAAACTGTCAGGGAGGTGATATAGATGAAGTGTGTATGCACGTGTGTTATGTAAGTATGTACTAGTGGAACTAATGCCAGTTTCATAGCCCACTGAGACAAGAGGCGACTAACGGGACTGGGTGGTCAGGCTTGCTGACTTGGTTAATGCATGTCATCGATCCCAATTCCGTAGATCGATGCTCATGACGTCAATCACTGGATTGTCTGGTACAGACCACTATCATATAGCTGGAATATAGCTGAGTGCAGCGTTTAACAAAGAAACACACAAAAAACAGGCTACAGTTTAACATGAATGCCCCACTCAGACACAGTTTATTGACTCCTAGCCGTTTTAGCCCCTTAATGCCAAGCGCCTGGCTGGGTAACAACAAGTAACATCTTTTAGAATGACATGGCCTGGGATCGAACCACCGACCACCTGCACTCCGGGCAGACACACTATCTATTAGACCACGGAGGGGGTCCTGAACTCACAAGGTGTACACCTCGAGCCGAGAACAATTTTAGACACTTCACATGTCGTGCCCAGTGGGAACCGAACAGTGTGCAGGTGAGTACCCACTGACCTCCATCACTGCCCAGTGGGAGGTGTTTGTAGAAAACACAAATCTTCAAAGCAGATCTAGTCACGATGTTTAGGTTGTTTTACATGTCACGTTTAATTTGCAGTTATTTGCCAGTTGTATAGTGACTGGAGCCTTACACCAACAATAATAGTCAACAATATTGCAATGATAGACAATCACCATGTGACAGAGCCAGGCCTTTCAGTTCTATTCTTACTTAGCGTCCATTTTGACCAGCCAATCCCCAATTAAGTCCACTCTTATTACCTAGGGTGCCAAACCTCAAGATGACATTCAAGGTCAATAAGACTTAGAAATAGGCTGTTAGGAGAGAATGGTGTATTGTGAACTTAAATGCCAATTGTTTTGAAAACTGACTGTCAGATAAAGGCTCCATTAGTGTACCAACTCAAACTGTTACGAGTCTGTATGTTACATGTATAAAGTTATGACACAATTCTTTCACAGGAGGGGTGAATTAGTGGGATGGTTTTACGCCACTTTTAGCAATATACCAGCAATATCATGGTGGGGGACTCCAGAAATGGGCTTCACACATTGTACCATGTGGGGAATCGAACCTGGGTCTTTGGTGTGACGAGCGAACACTTTAACCACTAGGCTACCCCACTGCCCATACAGAGAGGAGGAGGATGTGGCCAGTGTTAAACATAACCATGGACATCGTAGTTTACCCACAATACCACAGTCACCTGCCCTTTTTATCAACCAATAACACACCATTCCTGGTTTGACCGCTAACCTAAATCACAACATCACAGAGGACCCACACCTTCGCATGTTCCCCCTGCACATGCCCTGCCCACACACACACCTTGTAAACACTACTCTCGCCGACGTGACACACTCAGTCCACCATGGAGACTGGAGGACAACAAATTTGCTTTACCTGAAGCAGATCGAGTTCTACATCCCCGGCCTGTATGTCTGGTAATTTTAATAGAACACCAAAAATTGAGCCTCCTTAAAATGTGCTAGAGTTTCCATGGTTGCAAAGCCTTTCCCAAACATTTATAGACCAGGGGCAAACATGAGCGGCCATGTTGTTTACTCTGTAATTCCTAAAACACATCTCTCTGCAGTGACTGCCAACATGGATTACAGATCCTCCGAGATCTCTCCGGAGAAGCCGAGCTGACATCACAAGTCATGGCGGCATGTAGTGGTCAGGGCCCATGGAGGAACTGCCAGTCAGCATTATCTTCAGATGTCAGACGGAATACACTTCACAGAAACACAATGATTCGTATGTCATGGATTCACAAACTTTGAATCAATACTGACAGCATGAAAATAACATGTTCTTTCTAATAAAGCAACATCATAAAAAACTGATCTGATTAATAACTTTAATAATGCTGTACTTTGATAAAACTGCAACATCCCATAAGTCACCAGTCTGTCAATTTGTCCCCATATACTGAGTTAGCTATATACCAGCAATATCACGGTGGTGTACACCAGAAATGGGCTTCACACATTGTACCCATGTGGGGAATTGGCATGACGAGCAAACACTTTCACCACTTGGCTATCCCACCGCCCTCCCCTTGTACTGCTCCTCACATATAATAATGTATCTCTGCACACAATATCAAACGTGAAACTGACAGACAGAGAGCTGGATATTGAGTACTCGACATCCGGGAAGATAATCGTGTCTGAGAGTACATGTGAGTAAATTATTACTATCAGTTGTAATAACTACAGATTAAAATCAAATGAGATTATACATGTCTTGGAATGGTGTTTATCTTCAATATTGGTAAAATAATTTAAGAAACTGACACTTTGGAATGAATGACAAAAGAAAAGCAATTTCTGCCTTAACATTAATTATTGGTAAAAGTCATGGAGAGATTCCTTAGTTGTTAGACAACCTGTCAGCACCCTACTGTCTTGTGTTCTTGTACACTGGCATCCTGCAGAACCAGTAATAATGGCCCCGATACCTGGAGAGCCAGTATTTGTAACCCAACATTTCGTAAACCTGTATTAGTAGCCCTAATATAACTGGAGACCCACTGATAATAGCTCAGATACCTGGAGAACCCGTAATAGTAGCCGCATAACTGAGAAGCTTCGAGTGAGTGAGTATTGTTGACCACCAACAGTGAAGCTACTATTTATAGCTGCTCTGACCTCCCATTCAATCCCTCCATCCTTCTCACCCAAATAATCTCATGGCCTTAAAGTATTTGTGGAATGAAGGATCCATCACCTCCGACTGACCACCAGGACAACACCAGCAACAAAAGTGTGAATCAGCTTCTTGTTGACTGGCCGCCCTGACCCCTTAGAACTACACACAGAGAGCAGACGTATATACACTGGACATCCTCAGTCAAGATGACGGCTGCTTGTTTTTGATCAATGTTTCCTTGGTAAATCTCACCTGCCGACCACCCAGGAAAATGACCCAGATGTCACATGATGGTTGAACTGACTGTGTAGTTGCTCCAAATGACACTTATACAATGAATGTCTTTATTAATTTTCCCAGACTCTCAAAGTTATTTTCTATCACTTCAGTCTTTTTATTTTTGCTTCATTTTCTATCATTTAATGCTGAACTTCTGTAATACATTATCATTACACTTCTAAATAGAACAACAGATGTGTTATTTATTTTAAGACATTTTGTTATTTCTGTTTCATATGAGTTGATGTTCATTAAGGAGATAAACATACCGTGTTTTCATTGTAGAGCTAGGTCACATGAATATTTAACTGCACTAAATTGAATTTGGAACAGAGCGCAGCCAACAATGACTGAAAAAAAGTACTATTCTATGAATATTAGCTTCCGCGATGATGACGCCATCAAATTGGCTGTTTCAATCAGAGGGGCTTTATTGTGATTTGACAGCCTCCGATTGACCCATGAGAATCGAGTAATTTCCAAATTCATGGCAGAATTCAGATTAATGACAATGTTTGAAAATAGCAAAAAAGAAAATATTTGACAATATTGAAAAGAAATTATAACCAAGATTACCACTGAGTTGATGAAAGTACCATACATTTGTCCTTGAGTGTTATTAATATATTCTCTAAACCCTGCACTGTCAATGTCTAGTACCAGCTGAAGTCAGCAGGTACACGTATATACCGGTACATATTCACAAAGCCATCAGTGTCCTCACCTCGCCCTGGCCACAAGGTGCATCAGCTTCTACCAGCTAATGAGACAGATTGTCTCTGCTAATGGATGATACCAAATGAGGTGTATTGATTGTACAACACTGTGGCCATGTAGATAGTGGTTTATCTATTGTGGAGTCTCAGCACTGACATAACGCCTATTGATTTCAACTCTGTGCTACATAAGACAATGCTTCATTGTGTTTCAAAATGGCAGCTGTCTACTTGAGTCGGGATGGAAAAAGTTATGTCCTCTGGAAGGTCAACTTACCCCTGAATTAATAATTACATAAACAAGCTTCATTTTATACAAACTTGTGGTAAGTGTTGTAAATTAGTTCACAAAAACCTATTAAAAGTTAAAAGTTAGTCAGTCTGTAATATATATTTAAAAGTTTCTCCCTTGCTTTCGTCTGTAGATTACAGATCAATAACAAAAACAAAAGTCATAGCTGTATGTCGTGCTTCATCAAAATAGATGAACGGAAGTGAAGTCAACTTTTAACATGGTTAACTTTTTGTACAATTACGCATGCCAACTTCCGTGTGGAAAGTGACAACAGCTAGATCAACACGCATATAGAAACTTGCTGACGTGGAGCTTCCATCAACTCCGGAAACACACTGCAGTCAGTGTTAATGGAATGCATAGATAAAATACTAATTTCCTGATGGCTCAGATAGATAGATATCAGTGAAAAAAAAAGCCCTGACCAAAAATTCTTTTCGAAGCGGAAAATATTTGAAAAAATTCAACATAAAGAATAATAACCTTTTCTTAACCACAAACTTAGACCATCAATGTGAAGGACATATGTCATATCGTGAGTGAGAACCCGTGTATTGAATGTAAATTGTGGTACAAAGCCAAGTGTGACTCATCCACCCTGAAAGCTGTTCGTATATAATGGCTTCATACCGCACATCGGCAACATGCGTATTGTGGTGGAGCTGAATACCTCGCCATACATATCCCTATATGATACACACCCTGTGTTTGTACCCTATACACCAGAGTAGAGGCCCTGAAATATCTTCTATCTATACTGTGTGATCAGCGTTCCCAGGTCCAGGCAGGACAATATCCGGAGTGGTTGTAAATGGTCAACACCTTTTGTTGAAGCAAGGGTATGGCCAATAGTATGTTTGTATATGTAGTTCCCATCGCCAATCTTAACAGTACAGGGATCAGCTAAACTAGTGATGGTGAGAAGGGGAGGGGCAGGGGGATTTAGGGCT